CGAAATCCCTTTGTAGGATAAGACAATCAAAGTTACATTCTTATTCTAGGCTAAGATACAAGAATAACAAATAGAGTTTTAATGCTTATATGTATTTCTTCAAAGATCTTTGATGATCTTCGAACAATGAATCTCTCTCTTTTTTTACTAACTAGTTTCTGATGCTTCTCTTGATTCAAGTTTTTAAGTTGTGTAATTTTCCAATACCAACAACTTCTTATTTAGAGTATGAAAGGTTGCAATGGTTAGCACCAATATTTGCAACTATTAGCACCAACAACTGCAATGGTTGGCCAAAAGTCACAATGATTCTTTACCAAAGGTTTTAATCATCAATGGTTGCAATGGTTTATCACCAAAAGATTGCAATGGTTAATCACTAGTAGTTACAATCAAAACAGTTGCATTTTTTCATTTAAACAATTGCAATGATTCACTTTAATGGTTGCAAGGATTCATTTAAATAATTGTAATGATTCACATGATACATTGCATCTAGTCACATAGATATATAATGAAACATTGCTTGTAGTCACTTAAATATCCAACAATCCTCACCTATTTAAGTGTACTAATAGATTCATTAAATTAATAATACATATATCAAACTCATGCATAAATGAAAATGTTCGACGAACTGAATTTTCATCTTAGTGTAATACACATTCCAAATGCCCGAGAATCAGGATGTCCTACGGATTGAATCCCTCAACCCATTTTGAGCAAATGAAGATAATACACACACGTGTTTCCACATTACTCTAAGTGTTTGCTCGACATTATTATAAACCATGTGTCCTAATCCATTTTTGAATGTATACAAAGTCAAGTTCCAGCTAATAGAAGCGGCATCACTTCATATTCATATAGGTAAATACATTCACTCATGCACCTACAAATGCACTTTTTCAAAGTATTTATTAAGACTAATATTTCATCATATCTCTTCTTGCAGGTCCAAGCACATACCTTGGGATGACATTAAAAAAATGTGCTTCACTCTTTAAGTGTAGGCTTTCCACATTGAATTCAGCCTCTAACACCGTATTAGAGGAGAACTGGGTATCCCACCATTAAAGATTTCAAATGGACTTTAAACTCATCCCTTGAACTGAATCAACTTCCAAGTCTCTAGCTAATCATTTCGTCAAATGATATGCTACCTTTCTTTCAGACCGAACAACCTCTTTGGTAATCACCCCATGAGTGATCAGCTCACATACTGCGTTATATCTAACGTCAGGTGTCGCGACTTACCATTATACACTTAAATATAAATCTTAACCAAGACTTCTTAACTATCAAAGATAGTAACTGGTGATACTATTTCGGCCAAAACAGAATCTCATAAATTAAGTTCTTTATTCAATATTCTGTTTACTAGCATATGCTAATGCTACGAACTTTTATTTTAGAGTCAAATTTTTCATGCAACTTTGCTCCTCGGAAGCCCATGAAATGGCACCTCCCCAAGCAAATACGCTCAAAAACTTATAGAAGAATGATCTTCTATATGGATAATCAAACTTGCATCTAAATATTCTTCTACCATCGAAGAAAATCTGACATATAACAAACCATAATTTATGGTTCCATTCAAACACTCATTGTGATATTTATTGTCCTCTATAAGACCCAAATTTCACACTCGCATCCATGGGAGTTCTCATTGGAGAACAATCTCACAATCAAACTTCTTAACAACTTTCTCAATATAAGGAGAGTTTGTTAAAGATAGTTTTTTATTTGTATGTTTGATTCAAATTTCAAGAATCACATTCATCTCCCCCATGTCTTTCATTGTAAAACTTGATGAAAATAATGATTTTGTAAGCTTTACTTATTTGTGGCTAGTGCCAGAGATCAATATGTCATCAACATATAATCAAATGATTATTCCATTATTGGATTCATCAATGTGTTATGTAAACATTTATCCTAATAATTTGATGTTACTGCTTATGTGCTTTCTTTACCATACATAAATGTGTACATTTTATACTTATTACAAGGTACAATAGAACTTTTAGGCTATTTCATATACACTTCTTTTTGAGCCATCGATCCATATCATGGATCATAGTCCATAGCACCCCACCATGAACAATATATTTACCACTCATGATAGCTCGACCTTAACCCTAATGACTTGCATCCATAAGTATCAATGATATTATGTTCGTTCACTTTTGGTAACATTATGTTTGCACCCTTTCGGTGATGTTATATTCACACCTGCTTGGTGACGTTACATTCTCACCCTTTTTGTGATGTTACATTCGCACCGTTTCGGTGACGTTCCATTTGCACCCTTTCGGTGACGTTACATTCGCACATTTTCGGTGACGTTACATTCGCACTTTTTGGTGATGGTACATTCGCACCTTTTCGATCCCGGACTATTCGCACCCTTTCGGTGCCGAACTATTCGCACCCTTTCGGTGCCGCAGCATTCGCACCGTTTCGGTCCCGAACCATTCGCACCCTTTCGGTCCCAAACCGTTCGCACCCTTTTGGTCCCAAACCTTTCGCACCCTTACGGTCTCGAACCGTTCGCACCCTTTCGGTCCCGAACCGTTCGCACCCTTTCGGTCCCAAACCGTTCGCACCCTTTCGGTCCCAAACCGTTCGCACCCTTTTCATCCTGGACCGTTCGCACCCTTTCAGTCCCGAACCGTTCGCACCCTTTCGGTCCCGAACCGTTCGCACCCTTTCGGTCACGAACCGTTCGCACCCTTTCGGTCCCGAACCGTTCGCACCCTTTCGGTCCCGAACCGTTCGCACCCTTTTGGTCCCAAACTGTACGCGCCCTTTCGTTCCTGACACGTGCGAACACTTTCAGTCCCGAACCGTTCGCACCCTTTCGGTCCCGACACGTTCGCACCCTTTCGGTCTCGACACGTTCGCACCCTTTCGGTACCGACACGTTCGCACCCTTTCGGTCCCGACACGTTCGCACCTCTTGGGTCACGAAACGTTCGTACCTCTTGGGTCACGACACGTTTGTACCTCTTGGGTCACGACACATTCGTACCTCTTGGGGCACGACACATTCGTACCTCTTGGATCACGATGCACTTGCATCCTTGGATCACGATGCACTCGCATCCCTTTGTTCACGATAGGATCGCACTCTTTGGATGACACCCCTTGATAGCATCCCTTGAGGGCATCTTTTGGTGGCATTCCTTGGTGGCACCCTTTGGTGGCATGCCTTGGTGGCATGCCTTGATGGCATCCTTTGGTCGCATCCTTTGATGGCATCCCATGATGGCATCCTTTGGTGGCATCCCTTGATGGCACCCTTTGCTGGTACCGTGTTCGATCATCATTAGTAATATTATTTAAAATTAAACTAACATACCTTTGAGAATATAGCGATGATGTATTATTCTCCATTGTTTCATCTTCTTTCAATCTTCAAAAGTTTATTCACTCAAACATTTACAAATTTTCAGACTTTGATTTATCTCTCGCACAATATACTAGTCATAGTTCACAAGAAAATACTCTTTAAGATTGTTGGTTAATTTGATTTTGTTGGTAACCCGAATGGGCGTGAACTATATAATTGGATAATGATTGAATCGCGCACGAGGTCACTTTCTTTAAAGAGTATTTCGACCCTATTACAAGGCTTTGGATTACACGAAATCCCTTTGTAGGATAAGACAATCAAAGTTACATTCTTATTCTAGGCTAAGATACAAGAATAACAAATAGAGTTTTAATGCTTATATGTGTTTCTTCAAAGATCTTTGATGATCTTCGAACAATGAATCTCTCTCTCTTTTTGCTAATTTGTTTCTGATATTTCTATTGATTCAAGTTTTTAAGTTGTGTCATTTGCCAATCCCAACAACTCCTTATATAGAGTATGAAAGGTTGCAATGGTTATCACCAATATTTGCAATTATTAGCACCAACAATTGCAATGGTTGGCCAAAAGTCACAATGATTCTTTACCAAAGGTTTTAATCATCAATGGTTGCAATGGTTTACCACCAAAAGATTGCAATGGTTCATCACTAATAGTTACAATCAAAACAGTTGCATTTGTTCATTTAAACAATTGCAATGCTTCACTTTAATAGTTGCAAGGATTCATTTAAATAATTGAAATGATTCACATGATACATTGCATCTAGTCACATAGATGTATAATGATACATTGCTTGTAGTCACTCAAATATCCAACAAAGCAAAACATGGTAAATTAAATTCACCAATCCTTTTCATTTTCTTATTAACATTTACTGATGATATGTAAAAAAAGAAAAACGTGGTAATTAAAGTTTACAAAGTTCAATAAGAACCGGGGCTTCTAGCTTAAGTGGTAAAGGGCTTACAGCTGTGAGTACCGCCACCTGGGTTCGAATCCCGGCCACTGGGGAATTAACATTTCGGCATCGCCAGGGACAGATGACTGACACTTGGCAATACGTGACTAGTCTGGATCACTTCTGTGAGGCCAGGATACCTCTGTATAATTCAAAAAAACAAAGTTCAATATGAATGAATGAGCTTGTCTCAGGCAAAGGTAAAGCTCACTAGTGTGTTCCTTCCTTACATAAGGCCCCCACTATTAGTGGTTTGGTTGTAGTGTTTCTGTGTGTTAACTGGAAATGAAATCTGAAATAGTATTTTTTTGTCATCGAATCTGAAGTGGTTATTTATATAAAATTCTCAATAATGTATTACACTAATTAACCTGGTTTAGCTTCCTTGTCACTGATTCGGTTCACAATTACACTAATCTGAGAAGGTATTGTGCTATGTGATGATAAAAATGCATACTTGTAATGAGTTTGGAAGTTATGTTAGAGTACTAATTGAGTTTTTATTTGTTTTAGGGCGATGAAGTCCCTGAAGAACCACTTCCAGAGCTGTTCAGTAGAAGGAAAACAAGTGAGACTCAGGGGATGAGGTAAAGAGATTTAGTTCAGTCATGGAAGCGATGGCTTCTATTCCAGCAGCTAATTAAACTGATTTCATCTTTCATGAAAGTCCCATCAACCCTAGTCAAAGCAGATTCAAATTCTGCTAACATTGCACCAACTGCAAGTCCTGCTAGACCAAGTTTGTCAAAGATTAACTTGGCACCAACCCCAGTCAAGGCTGTGTCAACTACAACTAGTGTACCTTCAATGCCGGTTAAAATTGACTTGGCACCTGCTATTGTTGCTTCAACCCCACCTGACTTTGCTTCAACTCCTGTCCGGCTGTTCAGTGCATCACTCGCTGCAGCTCGTCTGCAGAAAAGAAGTAGCAAGGATACAAGTCAAGATGATGTTAATACTGACCGACCATTTAAGCTCGCGAGGCGTTCTACATTAAGCTTATTAAGGTCGCTGAACTTTGATTCTTATACAGAGGATGAGAAAGCTATGGATGTGACTGATGATGATGAAGACATTGATCAAGTACCGGTGGAAGATGCATCGACAGGGGTAATAAACGTTAAACTCTCATAGTTAAATTTTATTTAACTGGGGTAAACGATATTTTTCTCTTTCATAACTATCATATAACATCAGTTCCACAAAAAGTTATAACCTCTATCTAAGTCTCCCTGAATTAAAAGTATAAAACGTATTTCTCCACAAATAAATACTTCGAGCTCAATTTTCCCATGATTCAATAATTCAAAACTAGATTGTACATGTACCACGATTTTTCTGGTTTATCATAAACCAATCTATGTTTAACCAATTTAACAATAGTAATTTTAATCAAACCAAAATAAAACAATGTTAATCATATATAAACCAAAACACTCCCTTAATTTTTTTCCTCGCTTAACCAAATCACAGCTGCAGCTATATTTCCTCGGCTGCTATCTCTATCGTTAACGTCGATCTCTTCTTTGCCTCTTTCCCTCTCGTTGCTTCCTTCGTCCACGATCTTCCTAGACTATTTCTTGATTAATCTGACAGAGAATAAGGATTCGGGGGCTTTGACGGTAATGGCGGTAGTCAGAGACTGAATGCTCTAGCAGTCCCGGAAAATTCACCGGCGGACCAAGTATCAAACAGCACCATGGAATGTCGAGTTCTCAGTCAAACCATGTCAGAAACACTCTTGTTCTTAATATTCATGTGTCTTCTCTGCGTGGTGGTCCCAAATCAGGTTCTTTCTTAGCATCATCATCTTCTCCGTCTGGAAACAGAGCACAATTACAAAGCAACAATACAAAGATTTGATTTTTGATTTGGTTATGTAGTTGAAAGCAAAGAAGAGCATGTATAATTTGTCTGATTGGGTGGAAGATTATTTATGGTCTGGTGCTCTTTGTGATATCTGCAGAGAGAGATCTGAGATTTGTAGAAGTTTGTCCACGTGAAGAAGAAAATTGAGGAGTTGGTTTGGTATTTTTTGGTTTGATTAGAATTATTACTGGTTTAATTGGTTAAATAGAGATTGGTTTATAATAAACCAAAAAAATGTGGTACATGTGCAATCTGATTTTGAATTATTGAATCATGGAGAAATTGAGTTGGGAGTATTTATTTATGGAGAAAAACCTTTTGTACTTTTAATTTGGGAAGATCTGGACTGAGACTGTAACTTTATGTGGCACTGATGGTAAATGATAGTTTCGAGGGGGAAATAGATCATTTACCCATTTAACTGAGATTGACTTTGCTTATTGAGATAATTGATCTTCGTTGTTCTCATTTCAGATTGAAGAACAAGAGAGGAAAGCTATAGAATCAAATCCAGCAATCTCAGAGGCAAAGAGAAGGAGAAAGATGATGGCTTGTCTACATAAACTTTTCAACGTCATCCATTACTTGATCCAATCAATAAGGCATTGGGTTATCACAAAAGAAGAGCTTGTGTGCACAAGATTATCGCTGGCCATTCTGATATTGCCGACAGAGGCAAGCCTCCTCTAACAGCTGTCCTAATAATTTTTTATATTTTTTAACACTAAATATGAGAATTACTAATATACATAGAGATGGATCCGCTCGTCTGTGCAGATGATGTTATAATTTTAGTGTCAAAAACTTTACATATATTTCAATATTACAGATATATAACATTTATTAAAAAAACACAGATTATCTAGAACTTGACTAGTCATTATGCGGATGTAATTTCAATTCTTCGTAAATAAATATTTGTTTTCTAAAAATGATGGTATATATTTTTGATATTTATCCCTATTAAATAAATATATAATATGATACTGTAAACACACTCATTTTCTAGTAATTTTATTTTATTTTTTGAGCTGTCAATTGTATAACTACATTTCTTATCATATATTAATCATTTATTAAGAAAACACAGATTATCTAGAACTTGACTAGTCATTATGCGGATGTAATTTCAATTCTTTGTAAATAAATATTTGTTTTCTAAAAGTGATGGTATATATTTTTGATATTTATCCCTATTAAATAAATATATAATATGATACTGTAAACACACTCATTTTCTAGTAATTTTATTTTATTTTTTGAGCTGTCAATTGTATAACTACATTTCTTATCATATAGTTATCATATTAGTTTTACATTGGCTTATTTTTTATAGGAAAATGTATAAAATAATATCTTAACTTACTAATTAATATTTTATTTATATATTTTAACATATACTTGACTATTTACATTGTACAGTTTAAATAAATAGAATTTTATAGTTTATATATTGATCATGGTTTTTGACCCGTGTATATTTTTATATTTGTAAAATTATCAAAGCAAGAAATATATTTATTTTGATAATGGTTTTAGATTCCTATATTTGGATAATATTTTGAACTAGGTATTTTATTTTTGATTAACTAGGAGCATAAATGCAAGATTATAAGGCCAAATATTGTATATGTTAAATCAATGGTACATTAAATAAAATATAAAATTTTATTTATAGGTAAATAAATTATAGGAATTATTTATTTTCCAAAAAATGAGTGAGCATGTTTTTTAACAGTTGATTCAGTTTTTAATAATAGAGAATATTCGTAAAGATTGTGTGTGTTCAATTTTTTTTTTGTTAAGATTAGAAATTGTTTTTATGGACTATACTCGCAAGATAGAGTATTGTAAGGATAAAAGTTGTTAGGTAGAGTTATTATCCAATAATAGGATTCTAGTTTGGATTAATAATATTTAGTTAGCTTAAATTTAGGGGAATAGGTAAAGTTATATTAAAAACACTATTAAGGTATTTAAAGCCAGTGGCATGCTATGTAATTATTTAGAAAATATTAGGATTAAGTTTTATTTGTACTTTTTTTAATAGTTTAGATGACAAAAATCACATTAGGTTATATATAATATATATTATATACACCAAATAATATAATATAATTAACTTAAATACCAAATTGCAAAAAAATAAATTAATTAATATATATACATTAAAATCAAATATTTTCTTATCTTAGCATAAATATATCTTCTTACCAAAAAAAAAGAATAAGTATATCTTAAAATAAAAAACTTTTATAAATTAATATCTCTATAAATTAATAAAATTTCAAAGTCCCAACATTATTAATTTATAGAAGTTTTACTGTAAGGTTGACGAGGAAGAACATAATTCATGTAGAACCAATCTGAACCACTTTAGCTTATTATATTTTGGTTCTTTGTGTCATAATTCAAATCGAACCAATCTGAAACGGTTTAGTTAATTCTATCCGCTATTGCTCACGATTCAACATCTTCCCGGGATTCGGGAGTCTCCCTAAACCCCCTACTCTCTCTCTCTCCCTAAACCCCCTAAACCCCCTAAACCCCCTACTCTCTCTCTCTCTCTCTCTCTCTCTCTCTCTCTCTCTCTCTCTCTCTCTCTCTCTCTCTCT